TTTTTTGTACTGTACAAATACAATAATTAATTCTAATTGTATTTTATTCTATTAAAAATTTTTCATTTGTGATTTAAGTGGTTTTTTGATTTAAGGACGTTCTTCACATAGTTTGTGGGGGAAAGTTCAGAGAAATGACAGAAATGCTACTGTGTAGAGTAAAGCTAGCAATTCTTTTTCTTATGTGGATGTACTGACACACATATATTCTTTCACGCACACCTTATCCCCTCTTTCTAAATTTATTTAAAAGTAATCTTTTGTACCCAAAAAATAAGGAGATTCCTAAAAATCATGTAAATGACATTTGATGTAATTTTTTCATATGGTTACATGTTAAATATTCATTTTTTTAATGTATCATGTGTAAAATAATAGTACAGTCAAACGAGGTGCAATGTTCGTGGGTGTTTCTTATGCTATTTAAATATACGTTTGACGTTTGAATAATATCTGTTAAGAAAACCTATGTGTGATGAACCTCTTGAAGGGACATTCACTGGCATGCAATACTACCCTATTGAAGAAAACTATATTATAGGATGATTTTTCTCAATTTTCTATATACAACTAGCAAACCCGGCGAACTCCGTTTCACCACCAGATGGCTTCGTTTTATGTAACATTTCGTTTGGTGATTAAAAGATAAAGAAAATTTTTTTTTTTTCATGTTTGAAAAGGAAAAATTTTATTTTATTTCACAACAGTAATGAATTCATTTCGATTACAAAAGTGAAGTGTTATTTATTTGAACTTCTCTAAGTAAATGAAAGTGAATCCAAAGTAAATACTGAATCGAAGCGTTATACGTGTCCGCAAATTATCCGTTTCATTGAAGTGCTCTTTGGTAAACCACAAAAGTTTTTTGGTCTGACGTAAACACAAATAAAGCGGATGGTTTCCCAACTCGTGAACACGCAACGTATAACTGCCCATGTGAAAACCAATGATTTTCTAAATTTATCCCGCAAACACTAAGCGATTGGCCTTGCGACTTGTTAATTGTCATTGCGAACGCAAGGCGAACTGGAAATTGCAATCGTTTGAAGTCAAACGGAAGATCAGTCGGAATCATTGGTATTCGAGGAATACATACATTTTCACCTGCGTACTTTCCGTTTATAATGGTTGCCTCAATCAAATTCGGCATAAGTCTTTTTACCGAAAGTCGAGTACTGTTGCAAAGTCGCGGTGGATTCAAATTACGCAATATCATAATAACTGTACCAACTTTGAGTTGCAAGTTATGTGGTGGAAATCCTGGTAACTTCAGAGAGTTCAAAAACTCCGTTGGATAATTTACTACATCATCGGGATTTGTTATGGAATCAACGGATTTGTATGTCACCAAATCGCCAGCAATTTTTGATTGAATGGTGAAATTCAGTGCGTGTACATCATTTTTCTTTGCGGCAAGAATTGCTCGTTGACTTAACCAAGCATAATTCTGATAATTCTTACTAATGTTTGGGAAAACATTTTTAATAAGAGCTAATTGAGAGTCTACAATTTGGCAAAAGTCGTTGGTAAGAGTAATTAATCCAGATGTCGCATCAACTGGGACTTTTCCATTTTCAACAGCTAACAATTGTTAGGAAAATTGTGTAGCACTTTGATCATTTTGAAGTTCAACTCTCATATTAGTGGTTAGCGATAATGTTTTTACGTTATTCCATAAAGGTGATGCCTTCAGGCAAGCATTCAATTCATATGCAGGCGTTACACGGGGAATTACTGGCAACGTCTGCCTGAAATCGCCTGCCAACAATATCATCAAACCGCCGAAGATGTTGTTATTTCGCCGAAGATCCTTCAGTGTGAAGTTAAGGGCTTCAAGTGATTTCTTATGTGCCATTGTGCACTCATCCCAAACAATGAGCTTGCATTGCATCAACAATTTTCCTATTGCACTAGATCGGGAAATATTGCATGTTGGAGTATCAATTGTGTTTGAATTGAGTGGCAACTTAAGCGCCGCAATTCCAGATGATGCTAACGCCAAAGCTATGTCACATCTTGATTGAATAGTGGCCAAAATCAATGAAATGACAAATGTTTTCCCTGTTCCTCTAGGTGCGTCCAGGAAGAATAGACCACCAGTATTATTGACCACTGCTTGCATTAATGTTTCGTATACTTGTTTTTGCTATTCATTCAGCAACGGCACATTATTTCGAACGAATTCTTGCAATTTATCAACATTGTATTGCAGCTCTCGGTTTAATTCTTGGTTGAATGCATCGTGCATCGATCGATTTGGCGCAATCATTCCTACTTCAATCAGTAGCTTGTTTGCAATAGTCAAGCATTGATCCTCAATCAGAATCAATCCTTCATTGTAGATTTCATCGGTTATTTGGATGTCAGGATTATTCGTTTGAATGTGCAAGCGATGCAAGATATCTTCACATATGTCGTCTTTGTATTTGTTCCATAACTGAATTGGTTGTGAAGGAAAACATATGGTAATGATAATTGCGAACAGCGTTCGTATTTGGTACGCATTTGATGAAACAACTGAATCCGCAAGTGTTAAATCCCAATGAGAATCGTTCTCCAGCAAACCCAATAGTTGACATGCTTCTCGATATGTTTGGCATTGGTGACCATTCACAGTTTTCAAATGCGCAAATAATTTTGGTCCACGTACATTTACCAACAGCAGTCGCAAATAAAAACATTCATCATTTCTAGGATGAACAGTATACATGCGACCTAGTGCATCAGTGGAAAACACCTGTGGCCAATCTGGAACTGGGGTTCCTTGTTTGCGACGTTGGAATTTCTTTGTTGATTGATTCCAAGTTTAATACTTGGGCATTTCAACGTACATCAGCGTCACTGCGAATGGATCTGCTTCACACATTGCAAAGAAGCTAGTCAATGTTGTCGATGGTGGTCTCTCAGCTCGTTGTGCCGCATTAGCCTCAGTGAAGTAAACTCTTTGGCCATTTTCTAAATGCACTGCTAAATGTGTAACTGTGGGATATCTTTCATAAATTTGAAATGACAATAATCACCACAGTGCTTTATTAGTACTGACGTATCTGCCCATTTGGAAGTTGCTGATTTCGTCATTCGCATTTTCCGACGAAATACCAAACACAGCCATGCCGCTGCCTTTTGTGACGTACTTGCACAAATATTTGATTGATTTGGCCGAATGACAACTCTCAACGTTTGCATGTGTTTCGAAAATTCGTGATAGCAGCGGGTAATATGGTACAATAAATTTATTTCCGATCTCAATCTCTTGATTTTGAACTTTAACTTTGATAGTTCGACCATTATCTTCTTTTGAACGCCGACGGTAAACTGGATATCCATCGTTCCCTGTGACTGTTTCAGCAACTAACGATCGCGGATATCGTTTTGTGCACTTTTTATCAGACATGCAAGGTGATAATGGATTTAATGCACAGCACGGTCCATGCACCATCTGTGTCGTCACAATGCCGTGTAGATGGGGATCAGTGACTGGATCAGGAATTTCAGCTGATATGATGTCATCCACTTCATTTGAATGTAATTTGTTCAGCAACCAAATTAGGATATGAGCATGCGGTAGTCCACGCTTCTGCCATTCCACTGAGTACATATAACAACGTGTGTCACCAAAAACTTGATACTTAGTAAGCACATCCATCATAACCTTGAGTTTTTGCTGAAATACTCTGGCGATTATGTCATGGCGATTTTGCGGTTTTTGGCCTGGTTCCAACTGACGTTCAATTTCCGTCCACTTCGGATTGCATGTGAACGTAATAAATAAATCCGGAGTTCCATAAGTTCGCACGTACGTCATAGCGTCTTGAGCGTATTCGTGCATGTGGCGTGGGCTTCTGATATAAGATGATGAGAGAATCGTCAGACGTCCAATATTCTGAACATCACCTTGTGAATGAATAGCATCACGCAAGTGTATATAGTCCTCAGATCGTAGCTTTGCCTGATTGAATCGGATGAACGCTAAACGTTCGGTCTCGACTTTGAAATACATGTTGACAGTGAATTGCTGGAATAGCCGACGGAACTTCAGAATAACATTCTCCTCATGTGTACGAATCATCATATGATACGCATAGTAATTCATTGCGCTTAGATTTTTATTCGTTGATACGCCTGAAAATGCAAAATTAAATAAATTGTTAATGGAAACCAATAATAGCAATAATAGCAATAATTAGTGTGTAAATATTGTAGCTGTAATTGGATCGACCATCTTGAACGTGATGTCGTATCCGTCTTGCCCTTGCCAATAAATGATTGGATATTGTAACGTATCGTATAAACGATATGTCTCGTTTACACGATGCATGATATTGCTTCTTCGCTGAACGACAATGTCTCGCGATTTAGTTGGATCGCCAACAATAATTGCAGCAACATCATTAACGGTGGGTGCATTAAATCTTCGCACATGTTCACCTGTTGGGGTACAATCCGCTCTTATGACAAATTTGTGCGTATACGGTGGCATTCGTTCCAATGCTGTTTTGAACGTATTAACCACAGCATTGCTAGCGTGAAAAAATGCTTGCAACTGTTCAATAATTCGTCTCTTTAACTGTTGTGTTCCCTGTATATTGCACCGCACATTCAGCTGATCCACCATCAACGAAATGAAATATATTTGCAGAAATTGATGCGGTTCATCTGGTGTTGGCACCATTGAACCATGCAAATGATATATTTGTCCTTGTATCTGTAATTGCAAACAATCATTTGTTGAAGAATACGGTGTAACTTCTGATCGTGTGATGGTGTAGTGTGTGGTGTATGTGTAGTTCTTACGTGTTGCAATTCTTTGTGTTGGTGTGAGTGATTGGTTATGTGTGTTGCATCTTTTACCTTGCAAGTCGGCATGAAGCCGCCTTCTCGAATGATATTAGCTCCAAAGGAAGTCATACGAAAGCAGTTATTGTATTCAAGGATGTGTTAAAGAAAATGGCTGGAATCGGGATCACTTCCACCGAACGATGGTTTCAGTGGCTGTGGTGGTGTAAGTAATGGATCCAGTTTGACTTTTCCACTTGCGCAGCACAATCCAGCCGTTTCTCTTTTGAACTTTAACGCATTGTAATATCAGCATATAGTTGTCATTGTCCAATATCTAAATTTTCATCATCACTGTAGTTCGCAGTGGGATCATATTGGAATGCCAAGCGATTGTATGATGCCAATGATCTTCGTGTGCTCACGCGTTGTCTCAATCGGGCATTTTCTCTTATTATATTTTGTCTTTCTTCGCTTAAGTTCTGTGAATGCACTTGTTGCTGGCTGGCATGTCTTGTGCGGCGGCCGATGTTCGCACGTCGTCCTCTAGGCATTTTGGACTATAGACAGAGTGGTGAATTTAACCTCAAATGCACGATCCACATAATTTACACAGTTCAACTTACCACCTTAAAGACAAATTCCTGCTGTTGAAATTGAATAAAAATTTGCACAATACACGTGATTGATTTGATGGTTTCCAATTGAAATGTTAGGAAGCAAATAACCTACTTTTTTTACTTTTTTTTCACAATTTCACAGTGAACACAATACCGGTTTGTCACATGAAATTAACTGAGCAGAGAACAATGAGTGGCTGTCAAACAATGTATCACGCACCAGCGCTAACTACTTAAAATATTGGTTTTTAGTACATGCCATGTATCAGAGATGGCGCTGTATGTGAAAAAAGATTTTCGCGCTTTTCTGTTGAAATTTTTCCTGAATTTTCTTTGCTATAAACCTCACGGCACCCGAGACCTTTCCAACGAAAGCGAAACCGTGGAAATCGGTTCGTGCCTTCTGGAGTTACAGCGTCAGGAAGGAAAACCCGACTTATTTTTATATATAGATATCTATTTATCATTTGTTTATTTCATATTATTTTTTACTTTTTTTTTTATTTCATATTATATTACACTAGCGGCCTCCCGTCTCGGCTTCGCCCGAGACTTACTAAATGGAACACCATAGTGTGTTGACATGTAATGNGCATGCGCAGTGCGCAATCACCCTCTCTCCATAGAGCAAGCTGGAGCGGGAGAGCCCCCCTACCCAGACCTTTAACCTAAGCCCCGCCCACTTCTCACAACTTAAATATGACATTTCGTCAAGTACGAGTACAATCGACGATAGCCACGTGGGCTAAGTCTTTGCCCCAGCCAAACTTGATAGCTTTCGAATCTGACTGATAATTTTTTTTTTTTTTTTCCATCAGCACAATTTTTATACGTTAGTTTTTTGTATTAAAATAATTTTTTGTTGGTTTGTTGCTTTTTGAACTCTTGGTACATGCGACGAGTCGTCACTAAATGTATATATATATATTGAAAAAAAAAATTTTTTTTCTCTTATCTCACAACTTTATTATCACAGCAACTAAGCCCTGGGATTTATCTCTACACATTTTATTGCCAAAAAAACAAAAACATATTCTACCTATTCAAAAATCTAGAAGATTTAAGAGATTACTATGAGGGTACTGATTAAAAAGCTGATCTCTCACGCAATAAATTCTTTATTTATCAATTTTGACGCTGCTATTTCGATCTCAATAAATGTTCTGCGTCAGTTTCTTGAAGCCTAAAATTGTATTCATTAGATGCACATAACTTCTTTTTGTAATTCGCCCTCTTGCGACTTTTGGTATAGTTAAGACTTTTGTGAGCCCTAAATGCTGATTTTTGTCAACATTATTAGGTTCTAATGTATTTGTTGGCAAGGTAGTTCGACGTCCAATAGCCCTAAAAAGGACCGATGAGCTTTTTAAGTAAACTCTTTTTTGACTGAAGTTTACAACAATTATGACTGCCTGAATACCTGATAGTGATTTTCTCTGGCCTGCTGTTCAAGCCCCAGACTGATCAGGACTAAAATTACAAAGTCCGAAGCTTTGGAGCCAGTTGTAGAGCTCTTTTCTAACGTCTCCTGGTATAACGTCAAAAACGTTGGTGTCTAAAGCACCTTCTATTTTTTGCAGACTCAGTTGTTTTGGCGATCTGAGGTGGAGAGATTGGCACGTGATGCTTGCCCGTTGGCTCAAGTTTTTTTTCCTTTATAGCTGTTATACGTTCACGCAGCGCAGACCTTGGAGAGGATCGGTGATTCCTAGTTGAATGCTTAGAGTCGAGAGGGTAATAAAGGGTCGTCGGTCACCAGGGCTCCCAGACTTGCGACGAACAACTCCGCTCGTGATGACTGCCAGTGAATGACTGACTGACTTGGTTCAGTAGAGGCCGTCTTTAGTTAACATAGTCTTTTAATCAACAAATCGCTTCCGGAAATGGTAGTAAAAATGTATTTGTTGGCAAGGTAGTTTAAACTTAGGTGTCCCTTAAAAAAACCGATGAGACTGATGGATAAGTAGGGAACGTAAATATTAATAATGGTCCTAAAAAGGTCCAGTGGTGAATTTTCAGTTAATCCTTATTATTATTTTTAATGATCAAGAGCCAGCTGCGCGTAGCTTGACTCTTATCCTTCGAGTCTCTGTGAACGGATACCGTACTAGAGGGCGGTACGACGCTGACCTAAGAATATCTCGTCTTCGGGTCGTTCCCCGGATAACCAACCGTTCATCGTTAGTCAGGAAAGAGGGCCTGGAGATTACTTTCTCTGTAGGTATACCGTTGGGACGACCACTAAGAAGGAGGCCGTTGTGACTGCCCGTGCTCCTCAGGGCTGTCTTTCCTGGCTTCCATTTGCAGTCAAAAATTCTCTAATGGCATCAGGCTAAATGGTGTAACAGCCACATAACTCTGAAGTGTTGGAGCAAGTTGTGCACTAGCTATACACGTCTCCTGGTATTCTGACAGAGACGTTATTGATTAGAATTATTTTTTAGTGGGGGCCTTCGTCAGTCCTAGAGGATCAGGATGGAAGGAGACCTAGGTCACTTGAATTTCATCTACATTCTCGATGCAGCTCGATTAACTGCCGGTAGACGAATGCGATAACTTTCGAGACGCTCCGGCGTATAATAACCACGCTTATTTAATTCTGTTGCAGGTAGCTTCGATATTATGTCAACGCCACCTAGCAGATTCTACTGAACCAACGTAATAAGATGGAAAACTTTGAGCTTATTTATTGCTATTATTATTAACTTTTTCAAGATAAAAACTATAATAAAATTATCTAGGAAGTGTCAAGAATTGGTATGCAAAATTTCAGCAAAATTGGTTTAGTAGTTATCGCGGTTAGCGATTACAACGGTTTTGGCGACTTTGCTCTATATATGAGTAAGATATATATATTATTGTGGATATTTGTCATGATTTTGTTAGAGTTCTTTTAGACACTAACAATATTCTTTTGCCTCATAGAAAATAAAACAGAAGATTGCTACGAAAAAGCCTTCGAACCATAGAGATATTATAGATAGAGTAGGCAAGCCTGTAAGTGGAAGCGTTAACACGATAAAAAGAGATGCAACATCGAGCTACCTTTCTATCTTTTTCTATGCTCGCTGCTGATTGGCTACAGATGTTTTACGTGTATATAGGCATCGGCAATCAGTAGCAACCAAAGAGAGAGATGGAAAGGTAGCTCGATGTTGCATCTCTTTTTAAATTGTTAACGCTTCCACTTACAGAAGAATCGATGGCTTGCCTACTCCATCTATGATATTTCTATGCTTCGAACACATGAAAAAAATAGTTCCTAGTTTGTCACTTACAGAGCATGTATGCTATTTCAAGATAGGCATCCGCAATTCAGCGGAAAAATACTTGATGGAATTGTAGTTTATTGCTGTTACTTGTACCATGTTAAAGTAAGTTACTTTATAACGTGCTTGCAATTTTTCAGTTATAATTACTAAATAAAAATAAAAAAATTACATCAGTTTCAAAGACCCTATTGAAGCAGACTAATAAGAATCAACAATTAAATATAGTATTTTATTAATATTTCGAGAAATTACATTAATTGATTGTAATTTAATATTTTTCAGCCTAGTTTACTACTTAAACAGTAATAAAAAATGTTCTTTTCTTTCGTTTTAATTTGTAAGGAAGATAATGAATAAAAAAAACTGGCTTACTGGCAAAATTAACACGTCAAGTACAAAGTAGATTACGCTACTGCGTTACACATCCGAGTATACATTTTATCACTCGTAGGAAGTGTGGATAAAAATTGCCACAAGTGTGTGAATAATTAACTTGTAAAATACTGTTAAAAATGTGCTTTACGCATTAATGTTGCAATAAATGTACTTCTTACACTGTTACGTACGATAGCATATCGACGCCTCGGACTAAAACAAGTCCAGCTTAGATTTATCAATGTTATTTTAAATGGGAAAACCTGAACTGAGCTTCTCTTCGTCCGAGGCGTTGATATAGCTATGCGTGCATGCGCCCTCGCTGGGCTGGGCCCTAAAGGTAGGGGAATAGAGAAGAGAAGTAATAGAAAAGGGAAAGCGAAGCAAGAGAGTGAAAAGAGATTAGCTAGAGACTTGAAAGCGAAAGGATCAGGCCCACGAGCCTAGAATACACGCGCAACTTCCCTCAAATACATAACCAACCGCTCACCGTTAGACGGGAACATGTGGGTAAGCGCGTTGGG